TCGGATTTATATGTCACTTAGTATATATACATCCATACACACATAATATATAGATATATATATATATATATGTATATGTATATAACGAAACATGCTGGACCCATATCAGGTAAGGGTAAATACAAATTGTTTTATTTGTTAACGGAAGTTGGTAAAATTAATGCATTCTTCCATTCTTTGTGAAATACCCTTTCCTCGATACAAAAATGTCCACTATGTGCAACATATGATAGAATATTACCGGTAAACTAATTTTAATCATCGTTATTGACAAAGTATCAAGACCTTTTGCATCTGATTTTAAATTTTTTATAATGTCAAAAATCTCCTGGGGACTTTTCAAGGAAAAGGATTTTGCGGGATTCAGCCTATAGTTTTTATAAAATCTATCTTCCGGTATACTGACAGCACTATAAACAGACAAAGTTGTTGTTTATAGAATCCACGTCACTTATGTTTTCTGGCAGAGAAGGTTTACTGCCAGAGTTTATACTCAAATTCTTTAACCCTGACCAAATTTTGCTTGAATGATTTTGCTCGGAAAGTACTCCCACATAAGTTTTTCTTTATTTCCTGAAATCTATAAGAACTTGGTTTCTAAGGCGACGATAGCTTTCATAATTATTTGTCCTATTTAGTCTATATCTCGCCAATGAATCATCTTTGCCTTTCATGGCCTTTTTAAGTTTATTATTCAGCCAGGGTGCCGGAGGTTTAGATACACGAACAGTTCTAAGTGGAGCATGTTTATTGAATAGTTCAACCGAGATATTTGTTAAGTGCGCAACTTTATTTTCTATATAATCAATAAAAAATAGATCATCAATAGACGAACAAGAAAGGTCATTAAGGAAGGCTGTGTCGTCAAATTGTTTAAAGTCTCTGGAAGTTATTACCCTTGGTATCCTATTAAAAGTACTACCTTTACGTTGCACATGACAAGCTTGTGATCAGATATTTGATTTGCATTCAGGCTTGCTAGTGAATATAGGGTCAAGTTATGATGCTGTGTGCTCCGTTACGTGGGTAGGAGAGGTAATAATTTGTGCAAAGCCGGTTAAATTGAAGCAAGGAAGCAGAGTGTTATTTTGATTGAAAATGTCAGCATTCAGGTCACCCAATATAACTACATTATCGAATTTACTTCAAACATCGGGCAAACATAGACAAGCTGACACAGTCAGATGATGGGGACGATAATGACCTCTTAGCCTCATCCTCCACAAAGCATCCCTGTGGAAGCAACTACAGGTCAGATTCGATTCCACTTTGTTTTCCATTTGAATGTATAACAGTGAAGGCAATTATCACACAAAAAAAGAATACAAAACGATAAAACAGCAAAAGCGCAAATCAACAAACACAAGGCCTTAAAAAAGATGCACAAAAGGAACCGTCATAGAGAATAACGGCGATAGTAAATCGTCAACGGTGAGAAACCAGAAATCCTTGAAGCGTTTCTGGAAAAGTAATACACATCATGCTATCTGAAGGTGGCAGGTGATTATAAACCCTCAATCCAGGTAGTTTGGATCATTGTACCTAACGCTTAGCCATGTTAGAGGCATAGCCAGATCATCGTTATAACTTTCATTCCTAAGATGAATATCATAGTAATGCTACTTTTATGGATGTAAATGCTGATTCTATAAACATAGTGACAGACAATGGTTCTTAAACACCATCCTACACGATGTTGTGTTTGAAATACCAGCAATAACCCTAATAATCTTTTTTTTAAGTTAGCCTGGAACAATATAGCCCAAGCAGACATAAATCATCAAATTGAATCACAACCTTTTCTTCTTCTCAAATCAAATCATTTACTGGCTGCTCTATCTTTTTGTCACTAAGTACATTTAGTTAGTCTGTATTAGACGTCTTCCCCATGCACAACTTGTGGTTGCTCACTCTGCAATCAGCTAAGCATGATGATTTTTCCTAACCACCCATAGAGTCAAATAAGAAAGCCCCCGTTGCAAAATATTTTTATCTGCACTGCTAAATATCAAGACAGAAATATCTCCGAGTGCTGTTGCCCAACAGATGTAGTCACAACATCAACAAACATAAGTTGTCGCTCCGTCTTCGTCGCCGACAATAAGATCGATGTGGGCGATAGAAAGGCTGACAGCCGCTCAAAGTAGCTGGTGTTCGGTCCAATTAATCTCTCGCGTCGATTAAGCGTCTGTCGGCATCCTCAAAAGAGCATAACTTATTTCTGTGGTCGAAGCCCGCCAAGCGGACATGTTTGTACGCGTTCGGAATAATTTACGCGCTTCGGGGAATCGTTAGAAATTAGAAGAAGCGATAAGACGAGGTGGCGTACAGTAAATCAAAATAAATGAGATGCGTTCAGAAGACATGGGAAAGGTGTACAGATTACTAGAAGTGAAGTCACTGGTGGACCTTTGAAGCAGCGCACAGTGATTCCCCTCTATACAGGGTGTCCGCAAAGTTGGGGTTTTCCTTCTCAGAAACAGCTACCCTTGAAATAACAAAGGTAATGTGTAGTGAAACGAGGGCGACCAAGTAAAAAAAAAATAAAGGAAAAAGTACTCACTCTCCAGTTGACGCGAAGGGCTAAGTACCTCTGCCCGAAATCATACCGCTCCAACAGAAAATGAAATCAGCTGATGCGCTACCGAGCAGACGCAGGCAAACAAGGAAGGCAAAATGTTGCGTAAAAAGTCTAGGTATTACATCCCGTCCAATCGATTTGGGAGAATAAATGGTCCAATGAGCATACCGTTCACCATGCCAGCCCAAACATTCACCGAAGATGTTTGTTGAAAATGTGCCCGACGGACAGCGTGCGGATTTTCTACTGACCAAACATAAGTGTTGCGAAAGTTATTCACCCCATTACGCGTGAACGTAGATTCGTCTGTCATCAATATGCACTTCAAAAAGTCCGGATTATTGTCATGTTGATGCAACAACCACTCACAAAACCGCACTCTTGCTGGAAAATCGTCAGGTTGAAGAGCTTGTACACGTTGCACGTGAAATATACGCAGCGTTTGCCAAACTTTAGTTTTTGATACTTGCACTTCTCTAGCCACGTCTCTAGTGCTTGTTGAGGGATTCACGTCTACTAGATTACCTCTACACGCGTGACCGTAACCGTCGGTTGAAGGTTGCATACTGACTTGACACACTGACCCCGACCCAGTTCTGTCGTCGGGTTGAGCTAGTGTCCTAGTACCACTCGGGGATGTCGCGGCTACAGGACGGTATTCAGATAGTTTTGATGTTGCAGAGTCCTTTATCTCGGTTCCCTTAAGACATTGGTGTATATGGTACTAAGAAAAATTGCTTATGTTTTCAAGATCTACACATCGTGTAAAGGAAAACCCCAACTTTCGGACACCCTGTATATACTAGGGCGACCATAAGTAGACAACATTTTTCATTGTATTTTAAACCTTAATATACAGCAGTACAAACATAAATATACGATTTATAAAAGTCTTTTTCAAGAACAAGATAATAAGTAGGTACTAAAAATGTTTCTCAGTATTTTTGTTTTAGATCAACCTCATATTAAAGAAATAAAACAGTTCATGATAAGGACAAACATGATATATTGAAAAAATTATTAACTCTAACCTTTAGCCGCTAACGTGTGGTCTACGATACCCCATTGATATATTATTATTATTATTATTTTAGTGTTTTCCTCTTGTCCTATTGTGACAGTCTTAGGCGAATCCAGATATCTACCCGAGATCAAAGCGATTCACCCTAATACCTTGCGGATAATGTGAGCAGTGCCCAGTAATGCTATTTTCTACACTTCAGCAACAGATGGTTTTCCTGGTAGTTGTGAGAGGTTGGTCTGTAACCCCTTTCTAAGGGTCCCTAGGGCTCCTACAATGACTGGAACTGTTCGGGTCTTAACGTTCCACATTCTGCTTACCTCTATTTCTATTATTATTATTATTATTATTATGATAATTGAGATGAGCAGAGTACACAGTACTATAAGCTCATGCAGTAAATATAGTGTACGGACACGTAACACAAGTACATCAAATAGAAAAAAAAGACAGTTCATAGCTATAAAGTTTGTACACTCCTCCAGCTATCATGCTGCACTTTGAAGCTATTAACTGAAGTAGCACCAACCACACTTTCAGGTAAACTATTCCAGGTGTTGAATATGCGGTTGGGAAGAAACCACTGTCGGACTGTTGTTTTAAATGGCTCCTTATGCAGTTTGAAGCTGTGTCCGCGTAGATTGCTGCGCGACAGACGGTATAGATGAATGAGGTTGGTGCCCATCAAACCAAGAAGTATCCTGAACGTAACTATAAGATCGCCACGAAGTCTTCGCTCAGAGAATGAGGTCAGGTTGAATAATTCAAGGCGATCTTCATAGCTTGGTCTTCGTGCTCCAAAAGGGATACGAGTATCCCGACGCTGTACTGATTCGACGAGATTTCTATCGCGCAGAAGCACAGTGTCCCATACCGGGCCAGCGAATTCAAGAATTGGCCTCACGAATGCCTTGTAAATGTAGGTGCAAGTGTTGACATCGGATCCTTTGAAAGACCTCTCCAGTATGTATAGAAGTTTCTTGGCTTTTGATGTAACGTGGTGAATATGCTCTGACCAGGAAAGACGATCGTTGACTACAACGCCCAGATCAGTGTGGCTGGAAACTGCTTCGATGTTGTGTTACAATTTGGCAACGGAGCACATCTGGATACTAGGAAGCTAGATACCTCTTGGAGAAAGCATGACGGGGCGTTTTAGTCAGTTGGCAATATAAGCTTGTGCGGCAGTATTCTGTTATTGCCAAAACTATACCGTAGCGGTCTCAGCGACCTCACCTTAGCGAACGTGTACCGGAGATAAAAATTAACATCATGAGCAGTTTCCCTGATCGTATGCATCCTAATGATCCAAGATTTGAAGAGTGGGCGAACAGTTTAATGTATCAAGACTTCGAAGATACAGGTATTACATTCACTTAAGTGATAATGAACTGGAAGAATCGGACATAACAGAGGAGATACATGAAGAAGATTCCGATGCAGACTACTATACATACCAGACGAAAATGAAACTGAAAATTGGTTGGAGGAAAGAAATCAGATGTAAGATTTTTCTGTTGAAAAAGATAGGTGTTATATTGGTAAAAATAAGTTCAAATGGTAAGAAAGTTCAGAATCTGTAACTACTAAAGCATTTGTGGAGGTAATACTGAGGTGTGTGCTTTATCGTTGTTTTCTTTTCAGGCATAAAGACCAGCGTCCAGTCAGAAGAAACATAACATTGTACTCACTCTACCTGGACTACGACCAAAAGCTAAACAGCTTGGCGCTAATCCGGAGGTTGAAGACATCTGGCTTCTTCTATTTTCTGAAGATATGATAGCAGAAATAATTCAGTGGACAAATGTGAAGATCATTGATGCAAGAAAAAAGTATAAAGACCAGGCAAGTCCGATATTATCCACCACCGATGAAATAGAAATGAAGGCTTTTTTAGGTATGCTAATATTTACCTCAGTTTTCAAATCCGGAAATGAGAGAATCGAGTCCTTGTTTGCCACAGATGGCACAGGAAGAGACGTTTTTCGATGTACCATAGCGAAAAGACGCTTTGAGTTCCTACTTACTGTCCTTAGATTTGACGATGCAACTCTACGAAATGAAAGACAAACTGAGGGCGATATCATCACATATCAAAAATATTGAATAAATTCATAGATAATTCCCAGAATGCCTTCTCTAATGGCACTAATGCTACCGTGGATGAAATGCTCGTAGCATTCAGGGGCCGTTGTAAATTTAAAATATATATGCCGAAAAACCCGGCTCGTTATGGAATCAAAATAAAGTGCCTGACAGATGCCTGAAATAATTACCTTTATAATGCCTATATTTACGCTGGAAAAGCAATATTTTTCATGCTTTTTGACGTAAGTACAATAAATGCTTATATTTTGTACTCAAGCTACAAAGATACTCCAAAACTGGAAAGGGCAGATTTTCTAAAAAAGTTAGCAAGAAGTCTGGTTTTGCCACAATGGAGAGTTAGAATGGCAAACTCAAAACTTCCCAGAGAATTGCGAGTGTCAATTGAAAACTTATGTGGGAGCACTGACCATTCTGCTCATAGCAGTGAAGTCCTAGAAGATCGCTTGGAAAAAAGAGCAACATGTTACAGATGTCCACCAAAGTTGAAAAGGAAAACTCAATACGGATGTGCATCATGCAACAAACCCATATGCTTGCAATGTTCCAAGAAGATGTGCATTCAATGCGTGTTCGATAGGAAGTAACTTGGAAATTGTCAGAAAAACATTTTTGTGTAGTTTTTTATGTTATCGCTTAGTCTAACTGCGGTTGTGTGCGACTGTCGCACGTTAGCGGTTAAAGGCTAATAATTATTATATTATAATGGAAACAATATTAACTTAACAAATCCAATAAAGATTTTGACGATATGTCTTTTTTATAACAGGTAACTTTCGTAAACCCAAAATCAAGGGATCCGAATCAAGAAGAAGCTTATTAAATAAATCGGCTTTGTTTTTGTGTATGATCTTGTCGAAATGATTTAATGTGTGTGTTAATCGCTTCATCCGCTTCTTCAGATATCTCCTCAATTGACAACAAAGCGTGATCTAACATCACCATCAAGAATTTCCCAATGCATCGCGGTGTATCCATATTTTCAACTACATTTAGCCAATCTGAATACTTTTCTACCAATTAAGATTTAGAGCGATTCTACTTTACCCAATAATGCGAAATTCGTTTTCATAAATTTCTATTTCACTTAATCTCCCTAAATCAACATTTTCGATGTTATCTAAAAGACACGACGCTTCAGTCAACATGTCGAGGATATATTGCAATTTTCCTTTGGCACTACCCTTCTTAGAGTGCCAAAAATCAAAATTAGGCCTCCTCGAAACATAACATTTAAACAATTTACCTAAAACAACAACAAAATTGGATTTGGAACACTCCCTTTTTCTGTACTTTGAAAATAAATGGTTTGGCACCTCACAAACCTAAGAAGGGGCAGCAAGATGCAGAAGAAACCTATAGGCCCCTAATCTAGACATTCTATACTTTAATATTTATCTCAGCTGTAGTAAGGCGCAGCAAAACGTTTATAACTCAAAATCAATTAGTTCTTTAGGAAAAAATCTAGCAAAAACAACTTTCAATAAAAAATTTACATGAAACTCCAAAACGGACGACGTGAAAACGTTAGGCTTGAAATTATAATCCAGAAAAAAAGTTGCAATGACTTACACGTCCCTGCAATTAGACTCAAGAAGCTGCCACCTGCGATGGACGAAAATAAATGTTTGAACTAGTTGTATTGTTATTCATATTTTTTAAAAGCCTTGGGCCTACTCGATAACTTAGAGACTCATTTAGACCGTTATAAACTCATGAGTTTACCACAAGCAATTTGAATTTTTTGTTGGTATTTTTATGCTTTGTAACTTTCATCTGAATCAGTTTCACCAATATATCTTGTTTTATTGAATACATGGGAAAAGTTATTTGTTTTCAACTTGGACGGTTAAAAAGAAGTTATGCCAGCAGAATTTTTGTATCTCAATATTAAATTTCTGTTGTAAGATCGATCCGTATATGCACGTTTTTTTTCTGAAATTCGATACATGATGACTTCATTGTTGGGACTTTCCTTTTTCTGAATCAATAACGATTGGAGTAACAAAGCTAATGTGCGGTAAAACAACAGCGAAAACGTAAAAAAGAAAAGTATTCACTATTGAATTGATATGCAATGTCAAATACACTGACAAAGTAGATGTTTTGTTTGTGAATTTTGGTTGAAGCTCTCGCTGTTGGATTCAAAAACAGAAGTTTCTTAACGCCTTCCTGAATTTCCAAGATTTTGTTTTTTTCCTGCGTGTGCCTCGACGGGCTTCGCACGATCTAAGCCTACGCAACTTCGGACGAAAACATCCAGGACAACGATCTGAATACACTCCCGAAGCATCAATAACACCTTGAAGACGCTGAGGCTGAGCTAACCTCAAATTGGTAACTAAGTTATTCCGGTAGGAAAGTCAGTTTCGGTTTTTCAAATCCAATCTGTAAACAAGTTAACCTATCCACCGCGCGTCGTCGTCGCCTGATTAGGATACTGACGCACCGCTTCCCTTTTTACGTTGGATGCTAGACTATTCAGAACTTCCCGGAAAATACATGTTCCTAGTCAAATTTACTTATTGTCATATGAACTATACACTATCTAAAGGAAAGTACAAATTTCAAGGATATCCTGTACATCACAATCTAGAAGTGGTCCTGCTCATTTTTATTCCCCGATAGCGTTAAATATTTATTGAATATTTTTTAAAAATGTTTGTTAAATATTTGTAGAGACATATTTTGGTATGTTATTTTAGATATCGTGATGAAAGATGTCCATACGCACAATTTGATCTTTTGACTAACTTTCATAGAAATGGCCAATTATTGATTTTGTTGGAAAGTGACTATTTCGTGATTTTATATTATAATTCAACGGACAAAAATACAGTATTTTAGACTGTTAAAGTTTTGAAACGTCGCTGTTGAACTTAAAAATACTTACATCTGATTTGCTCCTTACTACGACAAACATAATAATAATGATTGAGTTAAAAAAGCATTTTTGATGTATCTCGATCAAGTTGCGATTATACAACTTTTCATTAGGATGTTATAAATATAATTTTCGTATCCATTTTCAGATAAATCCTCCAATCCCAGTTCGCAAATAACTGTTACACTTCAAGGCTAGTAATGAAAAATTTACCCTTATCCACAAAAAAACGCTCAAATAGTGTACCACTTGGGGGTACATAGGAAGCAAGCTATCGTAATGAAGCTCACAGGCAAAATGGGTGCCAGCAAACGGGTCGGCTCAGGTCGGCTTGCCATTATGTCATTGGTCGCGCGGGGTCACATGCACATGCGCCGTAGCCGAAGATATTTAATGAAAATTTGCTAAATTATGGAGACTTAATATTTTCCATTGATGGAAAAGTACATATTTAATGAATATTATAAAAGAAATATTGTATTTATACATTTAAAAGACATCGAATAAAAAGATTATATACCAGTCGTGTGGAATAGTGGCCATTTTGGATGAGTTTGCATATTGTGTTAGTTTCTAAATTAGATGGGTACAGCTAGCCAGGGATTGATGAAAAAAAGCCATAAACTATGATTTTACCCAAGTTCAGAGTCTCCATGCACCTTATAGTCATGGATCAAAGCCAGAGCGAAACTTGACACCCAGATCAACGCAGGTGCGAAGTCTCAGTAATAGCAAGGTCAATTTATGGGTAAATTTCACCAGCAGTTAATCTGTAAAGGTGGCTTCACCCTATTATATACTATGATAACGCGTAATGTTTAATTTTAATGTTTTTTGTGTGATCCAACTTTTTTATTGGTTGTTATATGTACCCTGACCATAACAATAAAAACCACAAGTAATATTGCTTTCATTCTACAACCACAAACAACCGACAATAGAAAACTTTTTCTTGCTATTTGGCAACGCCACAGCACCTTGAGCTGTCTTATTTTGATAGACCTTATATACTAAGGATTTGTGAAATAGCATGAAACAGCTATCTATGGTTGGCCGTAGACCATGCCCTGCAGCACCAGAATCGGCAGCATCTAGCGGCCACAGTGGCGACTCGGCTGACAATGCGACCTGGGAACAGGCGGCTTGCTGATTTCAATTTCTGAGTAGTCGATTCTGATAATTGACGTCACTTTGTGCCGTATTATTTCGATGTCGTTGCAAAACAACCAAAAAATTAAAAAAAGTAAATTTTTGCAGCCCTAGCGTACTCTGACTGTTGGGATGCCTCGCAGGCAGGGGAACACATGTAGAAGAATTCTCATTTGATCACAAAGTGAACCTACTATTTGTAGTCGGTAGACTTTAAGGTCGGTCATGATAGGATGCTACAGTGTGGGTGGGAATATTAATGGACACATCCTGTCAAAATGATGCACTTGAGGAGGTGACAGCTGTCGTGTTAAGGTTGACTTGTCGGATGTAATGGAGCGATCAGGGGCGATTTCGGCGGTTCTTTTGAACTTGCAGCTGTAACGTCTTCGAAGTTTAGTGGAATAACATGGTGACACCTAGGAAGCAGGATATAGGTTCCCTGTATGTACATCTACACAGCTAAGGTATACTACTTGATAGTTTGGTAAAACTGTTTCGACCCGAATTCGGTGCTTGAATACAGCGAGCAAACTTGTATGACCTGCGGTATGCCTCTATTGGGAATCGTTTTGTTTATTAGCT